GACTCCCCATTATGGTTTTAATGTGTAATGATACCACATTATAATACTATTAATACTACAGTTCAACTACAGAATGGATTAGATAGGGTCTAGTGAGTTGATCTGGAAGCTTAATGACTGTTTACTGTTTCAAAGGAACATTCTGATTTACAAACAACTTGCCTAGAAACTTAGAATACAACCCTTTCTTAAGCCAAGGGTTCTTCATACAAACACAGCTGTAAATGCCATCCAGTTTTTGGGAGTGGGGCTCATGAGAACAAAGGGCCTTTTCAAAATTGTGCAATTATTACCTCATATTGATCATGCCTGGAGTTTTTACTTGATTCCCCACTGCTTCTGGGACTAGTAAAGAAAATAGGGTCAGCCAGGTAGAGCAGTAGATAGAGTGCTGGGCCTAGAACTAGGAAGACTCATCTTCTTCAGTTCAAATCTGGCCTTAGACATTTACTAGCTGTGTGACCCTGGGCAAGTCATTTAACCCTGTTTGCCTCAGTCTCCTCATCTGTAAAATGAGCTACAGAAGGAAATGGCAAAACACTCCAGTATCTTCTGTCAAGAAAACCTCAAATGGGGTCGTGAAGAATCAGATGCAACTGAAATGACCAAACAACAAAACGAAATTGACTCAGACAAAGAAGAAACCCAGTATCACTGAATGACATTGGAATACCATGGCCAAGCAATTTATCACATAGCAGTCAAGTGAGAGTGATAGGTCTAATAATAATGATAATAATAATAGTAGCAGCTAGCATTTATATAGCACTTTAAGGTCTGTAAGGTACTTTACAAATCTTATCTTATTTGATTCTCACAATAACCATGGGAAGTAGATGCCATTATTGTCCCCATTTTACATATGGGAAAACTAAAGCACATAAAAGTTAAGTGACTTGCCCAGGGTCATATAGCTATTAAGTGAATGGGCAGTATTCAAACTCAGGTCTTTTCCACTGTAGGTCAGTACTCTATCCATGGTACCATTTAGCTATGTGAGTCCTCAGATGTACTGTACCTGATCCCTTTCCAGCTCAACACAACCTGTCAAAGCTTGTGATCTGCTGTCTTTATGAACCAATGATTACAATTGTGAAAGCCTTTAAGAACCCATGATTATAATTTTGAAAAAATAAAAAGGTGCAATGATTAATCACTATGTGTTTTTTTTAATAACTTACTAGTTTTAAAGTAGTACTTACAAAAATGATGAGCTAGTACTCAAGTTTTGTGGGGAAGAATTATTTTCTAACCTCAAGGAGTAACAGAATCAGAATTTGAGAAAAAAACGAATTTAAGATTTCTTGGTGTGCTACCTGTTTATGAGCACAAATCATATCTGATAAAATCTAACCTATAATGAAATTATCATAGGCATCAAATCAAGCCCTAAATCCTGTAGACAGTATTGTAATTTGTGAATTTCCAGTGCACAATGGAAATGATAATTCTACTTACTAAAGATAAGAATCAAAGTGGTATTCACTATAATTTTGACCTTATAACTGTAAAAACAGAGAAGGATGAAATTTATAATTTTACTTACATAAATATACTTACTATATTTGCTATAAAAATAGCACAGTAGAATACGTTTGGGTTTTCCCTGGTTTTAGTTCATCTTACAAGGATTTTGTTGTTCTCCCCAACTAAGTAATGTTTAGGTTCACTTCAAAAAAAAAAACTAAAACATTTTCTTTTATGGTGTGTGTGTGTGTGTGTGTATGTGTGTGTGTTTGCTTGTGAACTCCCACAGTACATCATGACTCTCTTTGTATAATATATTTATTTGTGTGCATGTCCCCTATTACAAAATTATCATAAGCATCACAGTTCTGAAAAAAAAAAGTGCCTTAGTCATCTTATCTCCCACAGGACCTAGAGACCCATTGTCTTTCATGTTTTCTTTGAGGGTGGTAATGAAGTAGGAGAGTGAACTCCTCAGTGAGAAAACTACCAATGTAAACATACAACCATTCTGGTATTTACATTCTTAGAGACTTGACTAGGACATTGAGGGGGCCACGTGAATTGTCATTGATCAAATCTTTCATGAGCTTAATAAGAGCTTAATAAATATTTGCTGAATGAATAAATGAATGTATGGTGGGTACAGGAATAGGAGTGGTTGGTAACAGTAACATATTTCATTTTAAAATATCAATAAACTAATTTTTATGGCACCTATCATGTAAGGAGTGAATTGAGAAGAAGGGAGAGTTGGTGAAACTGATAGCTAGGGGAAAATTATTGGAGAAAGGCCAAATGAAAGGAATTAGAAAGAGCTGGAGAAACAAGGTAGTTCCGAGGACTTATAGACATTTCACAACAGGAATAACTGAAGAGCAAATGGTTTGGTGCCCTAGGTTACAGATGAAGAGGCTTGCTCTGAAGTTTGTTTAAATCATGCAGGGGTGGACTTGTCTATTTCCATTCTGTTCCTTCAGCGTTACTAACTTGCCAGCCTGTGTTGGAGATGTGGTTGTTTAATCCTGGTGGTGGAGATGAAGTATGACCACTTTTAAGCCTTCTAAGATCTGCCCTATAATTGACTTGCACTGAATTCTAGTAATCACTGAGCACTTAGAAGACAAGGAGGCAGCTCAGAACCGTGGGTAGACAGACACAAGGTGACAATTTTTCTTTCTCTGAGGTTTAACTTTTAAAAAAATGGGTCTTTTGTTCTGCAGAAGCGCCTGCCCCATACTGTGCAGCTCCTCACTTCCATAGTTTTTACTGTCTAGAGACACACTCTCAGGAATTTATGGCTCAAGGTTAGCAGTAAATTAAAAGCAATAAAATAGAAAGACTATTATACTCAGGGAAGAATTTGCTTTTATAGGAACAGCAAAACATAAAGGAAAGTGTACCTACAAGAAATATGAGCCCATTTCTTACTTAAGGAAGAAGCTATCTCAACACCTGGGAACATTCAGTGTATTATAGTGGAAAGAATACTAGACCAGGAGCCTGGAGACTTAAGTCACAGTTATAATTCTCTTGTAGGCAACTTAACACCAGTACACAGTAAGTGCTTAATGAATGCATCTTGATTGAATGCTCGGTTTCTTCACTGTTAAACAAGGAAAACGTCCTTAATACCTAGGGTGACTTCTAAAATTCTATAATTTTTCATATATTTAAATTCCCAATCCTCTGGTAAGCTTACATGCTTGTAATGTAAATAACATATGGTTTAATATCCGTGAAGAAGTTCAAGTTTAAATATTTAAGGGTGCTTATTCATTTATGCATAGGTATACAGGCAACTAATATTATTCTTAAAAATTGAGATTATAAAAAGTAACAGTACCACTCTGAAGCTGAGTCGTCTGAAATCATGTGTTTGTATATGTATACAAAATACATGTGTGTGTGTGTGTGTGTGTATATTTTTTCCCTTTTCCTTTTGTTGTTGTTATTGTTGTTCATTTGTTTTAACTGTGTCCAATTCTTCGTGATCTCATTTGGGGTTTTCTTGGCAAAGATACTGCAGTAGTTTGCCATTTCCTTCTCCAGCTCATTTTATAAATGAGGGAACTAAGGCAAACTGGGTTAAGTGACTTGCCCAGGGTCACACAGCTGGTCTGAGGCTGGATTTGAACTCATGAAGATGAGTCTTTATGATTCCAGGCCCAGCACTCTATCCACTGTGCCACCCAGCTGCCTACATATATATACATATATATATATGTATACACACACACATATACATACGTATATACATACACAAAATATATATAATATAAAAATTTATTATCTTTTTCCTCTAATTACTGCATTGATTATGTGTTCCAATCCATCTTTATAATGTGTATATATGCTTCAATGTTTATTTTGTAATATAAATAGGGACAACTTATTTTATTAGTGCCCTTGTAGGGGCTGAATAAATTACCACTGATAACCAGTGAATCAATCAATACATATTGTGCTTAGCTATACAAGATTCAATGGCAGAACGAGAGGTGAGATAAAAGGAAGGATCACACATGCTGTCTGTCTTCCAATACTTTGTAATCAGTAATATAGTGGGGGGGAAATGAGGTTAATACATTTAGAATAATTAATAAACAAGACAATGCAGTAAAGAATTAAGTAAGGAACTAATGCAGATTTGCATAGTATTTTATATATATATAGAATTATATATGGTGTTTCAAGAATAGGACTTTTCTGACCCTGCTCTCCAATTTCTACTTCTTCCCCCCAATTCTTTCATATTTACTTTGCATGTATTTTATGTCCACAAATTATGTACACTTTGTTGGTTAGTCATTTTCAGTAGCGTCCGACTCTTCAAGACCCCATTTGGAGTTTTGCTGGCAGAGATACTGGAGTGGTTTGCCAACTTCCTTCTACAATTCATTTTACAGATGAGGAAAGTGAAGCAAATGGGGTTAAATGACTTGCCTGGGGTCACACAGCTAGTAAGTACCTGAGGCCAAATTTGAACTCAGGTCTTCCTGACTTCAAGCCTGGCACTCTATCCACTGTGCCACCCAGCTACCCCTTTGTATATATACCATATGCTTAATAAATGCTTGTTACATGAGAGAATGAATTAATGAATGAATGGGCCCTGAAGCATCTGGTGAGCTGGAGATGAGGGTGTGTTTATGATAACATGACACTGATGAAAGCCACTAAGGAGACTCATCAAAATTAGGTTTCCCATCAGATTTATTTTTCTGCTTTCCTACTCCTTTAGAAGACGGTATTACTTAACAATGTTCATTTTTCTAGAACTTCCGTTTCATTATAGAGAGTAATTTTCTAACATCATTAAGAGTAGCCAAGAGGGAAAACATTAATGGGTAATCAATCCATCATGATGTGCAGGTTTCCAAAGGCAATAACAGCACTGGCTGCATTGTAATGTAATAACCGGGAAAAATCGGTTCCTGCATCAGCTACTGCTCTGGGAAAAAAAATGTTAACAGCTAGAGTTCCACCTCTTTCCAAAATGGAGAGAGAGAGATAGATAGAGATAGACTTACCATCATATTCTGGGAAATAGTCAACTAGATGAGAATACATAATTTTCTCCTCTAGAAGATCTTTCTTGTTTAGGAACAGAATAACTGAAGAGTTCTGGAACCAGGGATATGTGATAATTGTCCTAAACAGTGCTTTGCTTTCCTCCATTCGGTTCTGGAATAAAATCAGAGAAACAAAAAGTGAATGATGTGGTTACCAAATCTGCTGGTTTTATTCATTCTGCAAGGCCAGCCATTCTATCTCCTGAATCTAATTTATGCAGCATAGGGTTTTTATAGCTTCCAACAGAATTTGTTTGCAAGTGATTCATTCGATGTCTTGGCTGTTTCCTTTATGCAAACTCACAAGCTAATGATGCAGGAGGAAATAATAATAACAATAGACATGCTAAAAAAAAAAAACTTTATGGTTGTACCAAAAACTAATCAAAGCCCAGAAATACATATGTGGCTAGTTCACAGTCATATAACACCATGAAAAATTATCCATACTAAATCAAAGCATGAGAACTGATTTAAGAACTAGAAGCCAGGTTTCATTTTGAGTTTCCTGGAATCTTGTGTTTTGAAGTTAAGCTTAATTGTTTATGCATTGCTAAAAAACCAGCTGGTTTAATATTTTTGTCCCAAAGTGCATTCAGACTGATAATGTTATAAGTATTTATTAATGCATATTTTCTTTATATGCATATACAGGGGAATGCAAGTATTACATATACATATAAACACATATTTGTGTATATGTTTCTTATCTCATACATATTTCTTTCATTATAGATATTTATATCTATTTATATATTTGTATTTAAATTTATGTTGTTGCTGTTCAGTCGTTTTCAGTTGTGTCAGATTCTTTGTGACCCCATTTGGGTTTTTTTTTTTTTTTTGGCTAAGATAATGGAGCGGTTTGCCATTTCCTGAGGAAATTGAGGCAAACAGGGTTAAGTGACTTGCCCAGGGTCATACCACTAGTAAGTATCTGAGGCCAGATTTGAACTCAGGGAGATCAGTCTCCCTGGTTCTAGGTCCAGCACTCTATGCACTGTGTCACCTAGCTGCTCATTTAAATATATGTCTGATATACAGTTATATATACATATCTATATAAATAATTTATGTATATATGATGCATTTTTATATATCTTTATTTTAGTATAATATAGGTGATACAATGGAAACAGCATGAAAATTAGGGAGTCGGAAGACAGAGGTACAAATCCCAGCTCGGCCATTAACTGTGCAATGTTGTTCAAGTCCTTTTCACTTCTCTGTCTTTAGTGTCGACTCTTCCGTAAAATAAAGGTCTTGGTCGAGATGACATCAGAGGTTTCTTCTAGCTCAAAATCTAGGATCCTTATATTTATCCTATTTTTTCAGGGCACTTTCCTTGGTTTTCACATAGAATTGTTGAAAGAGATGCAAAGCTTAATTATTTGTAGCTATGTCCCTAAAATTTTAGATCTCCAAAGTCAGCTCTTGTCAGAAATGCACTTGAATGGAAATCTTTCAAATTATATACCTTGGACTTCAAAATGATCGATCTGCTTGCTGATCAATACTAAGCGCAAGTCAAATAATTTTCATTCTTAAAATTTGTACTTTTCATATAAGAGCTGCTTTTTTTCTTCCCCACACAGCCTGGCCAATTCTCTACCAGAGTCAAGTATTTCCTGGTATAATCATTCCCAAATCTCACACACAGTAATGGCACAGTGCAGATTATTGGCCGTGGAATGAAAGGATGGGAGTTCAGATACTTCTTCTGATTCTTATTAACTGTACAACTTTGGGCAAGTCATTTGATTTTCCTGTGCCTCAGCTTCCTCAACTGTAAAATGAGGGGTTAGTCAGTCTCTGTGGTTCCTTCAAATCCTTTTGTAGGAAGTCTTTCCTGATCCCTCTTAATTATAGTGCTTTTCCTATGTTGATTATTTCCATTCTATCCTGCATATAAGCTTATTTGTGCATAGTTATTTTCATGTCATCTTCCTCATTCATTTGTGAGCTCATGGAGGGCAAGGACTGTCCTTTCTTTGTTTCCCCGGCACTGAGCATAATGCCCGGTACACAGAAAGTGCTTGATAATGTTCACTTGTCTCTAGAGCTATGAATACCCTATGATCTTTATAGGTGAGGCTTCTGAACAGTTTCTGGATCAAGAGTACCTTTGATTTCATTAAAGAATTTTTCCCCCCAAATTTCCTATAAACTTAATTGAATGAATAAATGAATGAAATACATGAATGAATGATCCATGTGTGATCGGTAAACCTGGTAGTCTTGCTAGGCTTGTAACATTGTCAACCTGTTGTCTGCCTTGCTAATGTAGAATCATCCTTCCCTAATATTCACAACAATGCTAGGGAGGCAAAATAGATCCATTTGCATAACCTTCTGATCCTTGTTCCAAGAAACCTCCAGGAAACCAGGCTCAGCAAACATGATTATTAGGTGCTTAACATGTTTTCATTTTTGTTCTGTAAACTGTGCCAAGCAAGATGAAGTCAAAACAGCACACTTGGCTGTCAGCCTTCATGCTTCAAGTAGATTGTTCACAAAATCTTTCTCTCGTTATCTTTTTGCCTATAGTTTTTCAAACAACTGAATACCTATGGGACATGCAAAATGTTCCACTAAAAATACACTTGATACATAAAAACAGTATTTCATTGTTATAGAGAATCATATTTCTTTGAAAAAACCTCTTTAGACAGATATAAATTACAATGTTGCTCATCACTGTTGTATGCCTATATACCTTGAACAGCAAAAGCTAGTCTAAAAAAACCATACCTGTCTGCGCATACCCACAGCAACATACCTGGTTACTAGAGTACCACAAATCACAAACGTTTATAACCTCAGAGTTCAGTTACTGAGAAGTGGGCGCTTAGCTTGAGAATCAAAAAGTCTTATAACTTTAGGCTTTAGCCAGAGTAGAGCAGAGGTCTTAATGACAGATTTAAAGATGCACTGACCCATGGAAGATTTTTTTTTACACATAAAGAAGGCAGAATTATATGTGCTTCTTAAAAAGAACACAGCCACATAATGGAGGAGTTCAGATCCAAAACCACATTTATAGCTGAAACTTGGTGATTTCTAATAGTAGAAAATTCTATCAAAATAAATTCTAAAAATCTAATTTTTTATTTTTCATTGTCCACTGAAAAGATTATTTGTTTGCCCTGCCTCCCCACTATGTATCTATACACGTTCCCTCTGACCTAGAAAAAGGACTGGAACCATAACCAGCAATTCTGGAGCCCACAGTCAATACAACAAAATGTGTCTGGAGTAGACACCACAACAGGTATTCTAATATTAGCTTTTGAAATAGGATGTCTAGGGTCTTTCTTTAATCATGACTTTCAGGTAGTTCAATAATTCTTAAATTATCTCTCCTTGATCTATTTTCCAGGTTAGTTTTTTCTGAAGAGATATTTCACATTTTCTTCTATTTTCATTCTTTTGACTTTGTTTGATTCTTGATGTTGTATGTAGTCAGCTTCCACTTGCTTAATTCTGTTTTTCAAAGTATTATTTTCTTCAGTATTTTTTGTGCCTCTTTTATTACCAAGCTGCCAATTTTCTTTTGATAATTTTCTTCCTTTGCTCTCATTTTCTTACCTAATTTTTCCTCTACAATTTTTATTTGATTTTGAAAATAGTTTTTTTTTTTAAAAAGCTCTTCCAGTAATTCTTGTTGGGCTTGTGTCCACTCAGTTTTCTTTGAGGCTTTGCTTGTAATTCTTTTGACTTTGTTGTCTTCTGACTTTGTGTCTTGATTTTTCCTGTCACCACAGGAGTTGTTTATGATCAGGTCCTCTTTTTTGGGGTTGTTTGTTCATTTTCTCACTCTATTTCTTGATTTTGAAATTCATGTTAAAATTGGGCTCTGTTCCTGGTGTGTGTGTGTGTGTGTGTGTGTGTGTGTGTGTGTGTGTGTGTGTGTGTGTGTGTGTAGGAGGGGCACATTCTCAAGCTTCAGGCTTTTTCACACTACTATTTTCAGAGCTAGTTCTGGGGTTTGGAAGGTTTTGGTGCTTCCAAGGTGGTATTATCTGGGAGAGGTGTGGTTACTGCTGTCGTGGTCTGCAGGCTGGTCTTTATCTGGAAGCCCAATCCCTTGGGATTTCAATGGATACTGTTCCTCAGGGTCCCTGATCCCTTGTGACCAAGAGCAATGATGCCCCGAAGGGGCTCTCATTCCTTCTTCATCAAAAGTGCTCCTCTCTGCCCTTGAATGTGAGTATAGGCAATGGATTTGCCAAAAATTGTTGGTCCTGCATTCAGAACTAGCACAGAGGTCCCCTGTAATTTCTTTTTTCACCAATTGCCAGGTCCTTTTATCATCTCTGATATAAGAGTTCTTGAAGCTACTGCTGCTGCTCCTGTTTCCACCATTTAGTCTTACCACTGGTGTTTCATCCACATAGGCTCTGGGCTCATGGGATCTGTGTCACAGATCTCTCTTTCCAACCTCCTAAGTTGTCTTGGGCTGGATGAGTGTCTCACTCTGACTTTTTGTTGGCTCTGCAACTTCAAAATTCAATTTGAGGTATTATTTTAAAGTTGTTTGGAGGTTGGAGGGAGGATGTTCAGAGAGCTCAGCTGAGCGTTTTTTCTACTCCACCATCTTGGCTCCCCACATTAATTTCTGAAGACAAAAGTATGTGGAGGTGGGTGGGGAAGAGAGAGAACTAGGGATAAAACTTCAAACCTTGGGACACACGATGCTATGGATAGCAATACCTTAGGATATTGTCCCTATAGGTAAAGAATGCAGGATACCACAAGGTCACTTCTGAGGAGGTCACCAACATGGGAGAGAGCAGTGCAGGGAGGAGTTCATTTAAAGGAGGTGGGAGGAGAGTAGCATATTAACTGGTAGCTTCCTTTTGGATCAGACTAGTGATTTCTAACATTAGAATAAGGAATTCTTGATAAAGGAATTTCCCCTACCAATCCAAGTCAACATCTATAGCACTTTATAGCCTTAGAGAGTTTCCTGAGGTACTGAGAAGTTAAGGGCTTTAGAATCACAGCCAGTATGTGTCAGAGGCTGTGTTGGACCCAGGCCTTTCTCACATTAAGGTAAGCTCTCTATCTACTTTGACAAGCTATATCTCGATAACTTCCCATATCAATTGA